GCCAAAATGTGTTGTTTCAGTGTAGTCTTGTATCAATTGGGCTAAAATTGCAGGTGGCTGGAAACCACATTCTGTGCAATGCGCACATAAATGCCAGACCTTGACGGGTAGTCCCAACTAGAGTCAGTTGTTGAGTGGTGGGTGGACATTTAGGAAAATCTCAATAATTCAGGAGCTCCATTCTAGTCAAGATTGCCAGTAGGATTCAAACGATGATGTATAATGATCAATAAGAAACATGACACCATTATACCTGTAATCCCATCAGGTTTGGCTTTACCATGTTTTGCGGATGCAACCATATTTATGGATAACATATATTTTATATTGGGAGCCCCAGTGACACATTGGTTTAAACTGCTGAGCTGTTGAACTTGCTGACGGAAAGGTTGCAGGTTTGAATCCAGGGAGTAGGGTGAGCTCCCACTGTTAGCCCCAGCTTCTGCCAACCTAGCAGTTCGAAAACATGCAAAAGTTAGTAGATCAGTAGGTACCGCTCCGGCAGGAAGGTAACGGCGCTCCATGCAGTCATGCCAGTCACATGACCTTGGAGGTGTCTATGGACAACGCCGGCTCTTTGGCTTAGAAATGGAGATTAGCACCAACACCCAGTCGGACACGACTGGACTTAATGTCTGGAGAAAACCTGTAATCCCATCAGGTTTGGCTTTACCATATTTTGCAGATGGAACCATATTTATGGATAACATATATTTTATATTGGGAGCCCCAGTGACACATTGGGTTAAACTGCTGAGCTGTTGAACTTGCTGACGGAAAGGTTGCAGGTTTGAATCCAGGGAGTAGGGTGAGCTCCCACTGTTAGCCCCAGCTTCTGCCAACCTAGCAGTTCGAAAACATGCAAAAGTTAGTAGATCAGTAGGTACCGCTCCGGCAGGAAGGTAACGGCGCTCCATGCAGTCATGCCAGCCACATGACCTTGGAGGTGTCTATGGACAACGCCGGCTCTTTGGCTTAGAAATGGAGATGAGCACCAACACCCAGTCGGACACGACTGGGCTTAATGTCAGGGCAAAACTGTTTCCTTATATTTTATATTCTGCTTCCCAGGCCTACCCAGCAATGCGTTTTCTGGTCAGTCAATATTGAAAAATTGGCTAGAATGTGCAAAAATATATAAGATACACACAACAACAAAAATTAAGGAATGAACTGCTAACATTTTAAAGAACCCTCAATCCCAGAACCCAATAAAAGTCTCCCTCTTGGTCGGCTGCCGGGCTCAATGTTGACACTTCGAAAAGAGCCTTCAATAATAACCTAGGAGAAGTGATCCTTCAGATACCTTGACCTCATTCTCATAAGGCAGTGGTTCCTTACCTGTGGTCCGTGGACCACCAGGAATCCGCAAGAACGAAATTATGGTCCACAGCCTCACCATTACTACACCATTTCCTTGAAACCACGTGGCAACAAGAGCGACTGGTCTCACAAAGCCCTCCTGTAGTGTCGAGGCAATGGGGATGTCAGGAGGGGTCAGGCTGGCTACCCACGAAAGATTCCTACTACCACATCAGCTCTAGATTATTAAAGACGGTTTTTTGTGGGTGAGCAGATGGCGACTACTGGATGGCATATGTTCTGTATTAGTTACTTACTTATTTGGGCGATCCCTCGTTGGACGAGTAAGATGGTCTTCCATCATGGGTTTCCCTGTGGGTCCGTATGTATTTGTGGAGCCCTATTCTTGCTCTGCATCTTCTTCCACAGTGAGGGCATTGGTTTCCAGGTGGAAGGCGGTCCCGGTTGGGGTTGGCTTGACGCGCCTTCCTCCTGGCACGTTTCTCTCTTTCACCCTCCACTCGTCCCTCCTCGAATTCTGCAGCACTGCTGGTCACAGCTGACCTCCAGCTGGAGCGCTCAAGGGCCAGGGCTTCCCAGTTCTCAGTGTCTATGCCAGAGTTTTTAAGGTTGGCTTTGAGCCCATCTTTAAATCTCTTTTCCTGTCCACCAATTCCGTTTTCCATTCTTGAGTTCGGAGTAGAGCAACTGCTTTGGGAGACGGTGGTTGGGCATCCAGACAATGTGTCCGGTCCAGTGGAGTTGATGGCGGAGGACCATCACTTCAATGCTGGTGGTCTTTGCTTCTTCCAGCACACTGACGTTTGTCTGCTTGTCTTCCCAGGAGATTTGCAGGATTTTCCGGAGGCAGCGCTGATGGAATCGTTCCAGGAGCTGCTGGAATGATTCCATCAGCAGCTCCTCTGTATCAGTAACTAGAGCTGATGTGGTCTCTTCAATGCAATTTTCTGAATCAGCACCCCAAATAACCAAACCGAATCTAACGTTGACCAAAAACTGATTCGTAACCCTTTTGGTACTAATGTTGGAGAGTGGCCCTTGGTCAAAATGGTCCCTGGTCAACAAAAGGTTGGGAACCACTGTCATGAGGGTCCAAAAGGTGAGTATCCGCATTTTGAACTGGGCCAGGCATTGAGAACTGGGATGGGAGGAATATGTGACAATGTGTTTCTCAAGTGTTGTGAAAACCCTGATGATGATCTTTGTGGCTTCTAAGGTTGAGGTAAATATTCAGGTGGCTATTTTTGTGACAATCCATTTGATGCATGCACTATTACTTTGACTCATTGTACTGCTCAAAAACAATCAATGGCTTACATAAGAAAGCAATCAGATACAAAACTAGTAAAAGAAAGGGAGGTAAATAAGTTGAAGGACATTACTAGCAACAAGGATGGGCTCCTTTTAGAAGGTAATGTCTGACAGCAAGAGCAAGGAAGTGACGATGCCTTGAGCTGAGACAAAATCTAGCTGGACAACCACAATACATCTTCCCTGCAAGAAGCATGGAACCAGGTCTCCAGCTTCAGCCCTTTGGCCTTGATAGGAATGATGGTTATTTCTGGCTGCCTTGGTTGATATTCAGCCCTAAGCCTTTTGCCAGGTGCACCTCAAAATGATTTCTAAGGGAGCCATACTAGCCCTTTGGTAATACCTTGAAGCCCATCAAGTTGTATTTCTCAAGCCCTGAACGGTTCTGGCCCAACTTACATGTCCGAACGTGTCTCCCCTTATGAACCATCTAGGAACTTATGATCATCTGGGGAGGCCCTGCTCTCGTTACCGCCTTCGTCACAAGTACGTTTGGCGGAGACGAGAGACAGGGCCTTATTGGTGGTGGTCCCTTGGCTGTGGAACACCCTCCCTATAGATATTAGATCGGCCACTTCCCTTTTAACATTCCGGAAAAAGGTCCAGACATGTTTTTTTTTGGAAAAGCGTTTGCAAATGCAGGGTAACCGACATACAAAAATGGAACGACTAGACAATGAGTCCGGACCTCACTACCTCTGAGGATGCTTGCCATAGATGCAGGCGAAACGTCAGGAGAGAATGCCTCTAGAACATGGCCATATAGCCCAAAAAACCTACAACAACCCAGTCCGGACAATGTTTTTAACAAGGAGACACTATGAATTTATATTTTATTGATTTGTTTACATTTTTAATTGTATTTATGACATTGTAAGCATTGGATTTTGCCCTCTTAACTGCCTCGAGTCGCCTACAGGCTGAGAAGGGCGGTATACAAATCTATATAAATAAAAATGTTATGTTGATTTGTGGGATTAACATAACTCAAAAACCACTGGGTGAATTAACACCAAATTTGGACACAAAACACCCATCAGGCCAACGAGTGACCATCACTCATTAAAACATTGAAAAACACAGCAGAAGGGACTTTAAAAGCCAAAAAACAAGTAAAATAATACATTACAACACATGCACAAAACCACATATATACACATATACACATATACAGAGACTGGGCCACAGCAACAGGTGGCTGGGGATGGCTAGTAAATCTATATAAATAAAAATGTAATGTTAGTTTGTGGGATTAACAGAACTCAAAAAACCACTGGATGAATTGACACTAAATTTGGACACAAGACACCTAACAACCCAATATATGTGTCCTTCAGTAAAAAAAATGATTTTGTCATTTGGGAGTTGTAGTTGCTGGGATTTATAGTTCACCTACAATCAAAGAGCATTCTGAACTCCACCAACGATAGAATTGAACCAAACTTGGCACACAGAACACCCATGACCAACAGAAAATACTGGAAAGGTTTGGTGGGCAGTGTCCTTTAGTTTTGGAGTTGTAGTTCACCTACATCCAGAGATCACTGTGGACTCAAACAGTGATGGATCTGGACCAAACTACACGAATACTCAATATGCTCAAATGCGAACACTGGTGGAGTTTGGGGAAAATAAAATCTTGACATTTAGGAGAGTTGTTGTTGCTGGGATTTATAGTTCACCTACAATCACAGAGCATTCTGAACCCCACCAACGATAGAATTGGGCCAAACCTCCCACACAGAACCTCCATGTGGGCCACAGCAACGCGTGGCAGGGGATGGCTATTTTTTATATATATATATATATATATATATATATATATATATATATATATATACACATACATACACCCACACATATACATATACACACACATATACCTAAATATATACACACACAAAACATTTATACGCACACTGGGCCAAAGCAATGCATGGCAGGGGATGGCTAGTAAATAAATAATTATTTGCTCTTGTGGATTGAAGCCGCTTCCTCAAGGGTGGCCTCAATGCTCAAATTGTTCTGCAGACTATTTGTGTTGCCAGAGCATAATTTTACTTGCATTTGCATAAGTGCAAGTGAAAATGAGAAAGATGATACTTGGCTTCAAGGCATAGCATTTGTCCTGTTTGGGTGCTCGCCAGTGTCTTGCCCCTTCACCCATTTACCACGACCTCCACAGACACATGTGGGATGTGAGTCTTCATCTGCTCTGCTTTCCAGGCAGAGGATTCTAGGAAGAGGTAGTTTGGTGATAATATTCACCCAACAAGTTGGGTGGGAGATAGAAGCAGGTGCTGATACCGGCAGTGGCCATGCCTCCTCGCTAACCATGGTGTTTCCTCCTCTTTCCCTCTCTGAAGCCAGCACAAGCCCTACGTCGGGACTGGGCACTGCGGCCATTGTGGGCATCCTCATCGTCATCTTTGTCCTCCTGCTGGTGGCTGTGGACGTCACCTGCTACTTCCTCAACAAGTGCGGCCTCTTGATGTGCATTGCCGTCAACGTGTGTGGCAAATCCGGTCCTGGGGCCAAGGGCAAAGACATGGAAGAGGGCAAGGCTGCCTTCTCGTAAGTAACAGGAACCCTGAATAGACACCCTTGGAAGCCTAGACTCTACACCCATGGTGGAGCAGAACAAGCCTAACACTGAGCTGTGGACATTCCTCAAGGAGATGTGCGCAGGAAAGGTCACATCAGTATCAGATGGCATACCCTAACTGGCAGTGGCTTTCCCAAGTTCTTTCCATGCCATGCTACCTGAGGTCACTTTGCCTAGAGAAGTGTTTCTCAACCTTCCTAATGCCGCGACCCCTTAATACAATTCCTCATGTTGTGGTGACCCCCAACCAGAACATTGTTTTCGTTGCTACTTCACAACTGTAATTTTGCTCCTGTTACGAATCATCTTGTAAATATCCGATATGCAGGATGTATTTTATCCATCTGGCACAAATACTCAATACGCCCAAATTTGAATACTGGTGGGGTAGAGGGGAGGATTGATTTTATCATTTGGGAGTTGTAGTTCCTGGGATTTATAGTTCACCTACAGTATCAAAGAGCATTGTGAACTACACCAATGATGGAATTGAACCAAACTTGGCACACAGAGCTCCCATGACCAACAGAAATACTAGAAGGGTTTGGTGGGCATTGACCTTGGGTTTTGGAGTTGTAGTTCACCTACGTCCAGAGAGCACTGATGCATCTGGACCAAACTTGGCACAGATACTTAATATGCCCAAAGGTGGGGTTTGGGGAAGATAGATCTTGACATTTGGGAGTTGTAGTTGCTGGCATTTATAGTTCACCTACAGTATCAAAGAGCTTTGTGAACTCCACCAATGATGGAACTGAACCAAACTCGGCACACTCCCAAGACCAACAGAAAACACTAGAAGGGTTTGGTGGGCATTGATCTTTGGAGTTGTAGTTCACCTATGTCCAGAGAGCACTGGACCAAACTTGGCACGAATACTCAATATGCCCAAATGTGGACACTGGTGGGGTTTGGGGAAGAAAGACCTTGACATTTGGGAGTTGTAGTTGCTGGGATTTATAGTTCGCCTATAATCAAATAGCATTCTGAACCCCACCAACAATAGAATTGGGCCAAACTTCCCACACAGAACCTCCACAACCAACAGAAAATACTGTGTTTTCTAATTGTCTTTGGCGACCCTCTGACACCCCCTTGCGACCACCCAGGGGTCCCGACCCCAAGGTTGAGAAACACTGCCCTAGAGCTTATGTGGCTGAACCTGAAACACTGCGCATCCTTGATGTTCTCTTGACCTCTGCGTAGGACAACTAGGATGAGATTTTGGCTTTCTGAGCAACATAGAAAAACTCACTTCTAGCCTCCTTGCCTAGTTGGCTCCCCTCCCCACATGAAGGTCTGTCCTCCCTTAGCTCTAGGATTACGAGAAAGAAGCAGGCATAAGAAACGCTAGCAACCAAATGAGAAAGCCACCTTCAACCCTTAACTGTTCTCCTCATTCCGCTCCTTACAGGAAAGACGAATCAAAAGAGCCCATTGTGGAAGTGCGAACAGAGGAAGAGCGGACCCCAAACCACGACGGGGGCAAACACACGGAACCCAATGAGACCACGCCACTAACGGAGCCAGAGTATGTTGAGTATGGGCAGCTACCGGCGTCTCCGGGAAAACGGGAAGCTAAGATTATTGTTTGGTCTCCTTCACTAGAAGGAAGGGGTTTCTCTGCAGGTCCTTTTTGATGTTTCCAAGTGAAATAATTTGGGTTGCATACATTTAGAAATTCTGAAAGTGCCAAGTGTTTGAAATAAATAAACAAACATTTATTATGGTTAATGACCAGCATCAAAAAGGTACAAGTGACAGGGTGTGCAAATGTCAGAGTACGGCACACATGTACAAGCACAAGTACAGAAGTGTACAAGCATCAGGTTACACACAAATCCGGGTATCAGGAAACAATGTTAAAACAGAGTTTAAAACCCAATATTGAATAAGGTAATTAAAGTGGTGTTAAACATTTAAATACTAAGATATCAATACTAAGATTCCATCTGAACATGAGGAAGAACTTCCTGACTGTGAGAGCCGTTCAGCAGTGGAACTCTCTGCCCCGGAGTGTGGTGGAGGCTCCTTCTTTGGAAGCTTTGAAACAGAGGCTGGATGGCCATTTGTCAGGGGTGATTTGAATGCAATATTCCTGCTTCTTGGCAGAATGGGGTTGGACTGGATGGCCCAGGAGGTCTCTTTCAACTCTAGGATTCTAGGATTCTAAGAACTTCCTGACTGTGAGAGCCGTTCAGCAATGGAACTCTCTGCCCCGGAGTGTGGTGGAGGCTCCTTCTTTGGAAGCTTTTAAGCAGAGGCTGGATGGCCATCTGTCGGGTGATTTGAATGCAATATTCCTGCTTCTTGGCAGAATGGGGTTGGACTGGATGGCCCAGGAGGTCTCTTCCAACTCTAGGATTCTATGATTCTAATTATAAAATATATGTTAAAACTTTCTAAGTCTGTGTCAGCATCTTGGGGCAACATGCCATTGCTGCTGCACAATAGCTAGCAACCCTGACAGTGACCTTGTGGTGTTGGTCAGACAGGAGATAATCGGTATGAAACCTTGCAGATCTCCCTGGTAGACTTTCTAGAATTGGATTTATAAAATGTTTACGAAGGTCACAGTTAAAAGAGCAGTACAACAAAACGTGCTCCACAGTTTCCACTGTTTCGTCCTCACGGGGACATAGGCGTTCATTGTATGGTACTTTGTTGTATCTTCCCTCCAATACAGCAGAAGGGAGTACATTGTATATTTAGCCAAAGAGAACGCCTTCCTATGTTTAGGGATAGTTAGATTGCCTAAATACTCTGCAGGGAGCAGTGCCCTTCCATTATCTTTAAAGATTGGAAGAAAAGAGGCTGCGTTTAGATAGTTTTGCAGCTCAGTGTCCCAGATATGCTGTCGTATGTTTTCTTTTGCTTTTGTATAGCCCATGGTCAGAATGGTATTAGCTGAGAATCCAAGGTTTAGGATTTTCTCTTGCACTATCTTTTTCCACCTTGATTGGAATAGATCATCAAGGGTCAATGGAGCCAGTGAAGCATATGTGTGTGAGAGAGAGGGGGACACTGAAAGTGGTAGGTAGAGGGAAGCCCTCCGGAACCGTTAGGAAGAAATCAACATCAACAGAATGTAACAGAATGGGAGTTTCAGAAGTGTGTGCGTGCATATATATACACACATATATGCATATATATACACACACAAAACACATATACGCCACAGCAACACGTGGGCCACAGACTGGGCCACAGACTGGGCCACAGCAACACGTGACGGGATGGCTAGTCTATATAAATAAAAATAATGTTCGTTTGTTGGATTAACAGAACTCAAAAACCATTGGGTGAATTGACACCAAATTTGGACACAAGACACCTCTCAGGTCAACGAGTGACCATCATTCATAAAATCACTGAAATACACAGCAGAAAAGACTTAAAAAGCCACAAAAATAAAAATTGCATTACAACATATGCGCAAAACCACATATATATATATATAGGCAAACACACATATACACAAATATACACACATACATATATACACACAAAACACATATACACAGACTGGGCCACAGCAACGCGTGGCAGGGGATGACTAGGCTATATAAATAAAAATGTAATGTTCGTTTGTGGGGTTAACATAACTCAAAAGCCACTGGATGAATTGACACCAAATTTGGACATTAGACCCCTAACAGACCAATGAGTGACCATCACTCATAAAAACACTGAAAAACACAGCAGAAGGGACTTAAAAAGCCAAAAAAGCCAAAAATACATTACAATGCATGCACAAAACCACATATATATATATATAGGCAAACACACATATACACAAATATACATACAAAACACATATACGCAGACTGGGCCGCAACAACGCATGGCAGGGGACGGCTAGGCTATATAAATAAAAATGTAATGTTCGTTTGTGGGAGCAACATAACTCAAAAACCACTGGGCGAATTGAGACCAAATTTGGACACAAGACACCTGTCAGGTCAACAAGTGACCATCACTCATAAAAACACTGAAAAACACAGCAGAAGGGACTTAAAAAGCCAAAAAACAAGAAATACATTACAACGCATGCGCAAAACCACATATATAGACAAACACACATACACACACACATATACGCATATATACACCCACAAAACACATATACACAGACGGCCACACCAACACGTAGCGGGGACAGCTAGTGTGTGTATACGCTAGCCATCCCCTGCCACGCGTTGCTGTGGCCCAGTCTGTGTATATGTTTATATGTGTGTTTATGTGTTTATATGTTTTGAGAATGCATTGTAATTTTTGGTTTTTGGCTTTTTCAGTGTTTTTATGTATAATGGTCACTCATTGGCCTGACAGGTGTCGTGTGTCCAAATTTGGTGTGAATTCGTCCAGTGATTTTTGAGTTATGTTAATCCCACAAACAAACACAACATTTTTATTTATATAGACTAGCCGTTCCCTGCCACGCATTGCTGTGGCCCACATGGGGGCTCTGTATGGGAGGTTTGGCCCAATTCTATGGTTGGTGGGGTTCAGAATGCTCTGTGATTGTAGATGAGCTATAAATCCCAGCAACTACAACTCCCAAATGGCAAAATCAATTTTTTGAGTGAAGGACATACATTGGGTTGTTGGGTGTCTTGTGTCCAAATTTGGTGTCAATTTCCCCAGTGGTTTTTGAGTTATGTTAATCCCACAAACGAACATTACATTTTTATTTATATATATGAGCAATTTATCATGACTTAAGCTTTTATGGACTCGGTTTGTCTGATACGCGAAGTGCTTTGCCAAGTTGGCAGCTACATGAGCTTCGGGACTCAAAGTGGGTGAGACATCAGTGATACTTAAATCTCATTTAAATGGTAATAAAATACAAAAAAATGACCCTTTCCAAAGCAGGATTTATTTATTTATTTGTCGTGTCAGAGCAACCAGTCCATTATATTACATTTCTAACAGAGCAAAGCAAACAAACAGAAAAATACACAACTTGTGAGTTTGGTAGTTGGTTAAATGTCCTTTGACCAGTCTCTGGCCACTTGGAGTGCCTCTGGTGTTGCCGCAAGGAGGTCCTCCATGGTGCATGTGGCAGGGCTCAGGTTGCATTGCAGCAGGTGGTCAGTGGTTTGCTCTTCTCCACACTCACATGTCGTGGATTCCACTTTGTGGCCCCATTTCTGAAGGTTGGCTCTGCATCTCGTGGTGCCAGAGCGCAGTCTGTTCAGCGCCTTCCAAGTCGCCCAGTCTTCTGTGTGCCCAGGGGGGAGTCTCTCATTTGGTATCAGCCAATGATTGAGGTTCTGGGTTTGAGCCTGCCACTTTTGGACTCTCGCTTGCTGAGGTGTTCCAGCGAGTGTCTCTGTAGATCTTAGAAAACTATTTCTTGATTTAAGTCGTTGACGTGCTGGCTGATACCCAAACGGGGATGAGCTGGAGATGTCTCTGCCTTGGTCCTTTCACTATTGGCTGCTACTCCCCGGCGGATGTCAGGTGGTGCAATACCGGCTAAGCAGTGTAATTTCTCCATGGTGTAGGGCGCAGACACCCTGTGATAATGCGGCATGTCTCATTAAGAGCCACATCCACTGTTTTAGCATGGTGAAATGTGTTCCACACTGGGCATGCACTGAGGCTGGATGGCTGTCTGTCGGCTGTGTTGTGATTGTATATTTGTGCATGGCAGAGGACTGGGCTGGATGGCCCGTCCAATTCTATCACTACCGAAAAACATTGTTCTTTGTAGTTATAGTTGATGTCTTGAGAAGACAGACCGTTGGTTTTGTATATTAAAATGATGGTCAAAATCTCGTATTTGATATACAATGTCACAGCTATGCCTCATTTCCAGCAGAGTAGCACAGCGCAAGGGCGGATGTCTTCACTGTGTCTGGTTGTGATCCCCAGGTTGTGCCAGTCAACTTTCGTATGATATTGTTTCTAGCACCCACTTTTGCTTGATGTTCAGGCAGAGCTTCTTGTAGGTCAGAGCACGGTCCAGAGTGACTCCCAGGTATTTGGGTGCGTTGCAATTCCTCAGTGGGATTCCTTCCCAGGTGATCTTCAGAGCTCAGGGTGCTTGTCATTTAAATGGTAATAAAATACAAAACACGACCCTTTCCAAAGCAGGATGAAAAAGGGGGTTTGTTTTGCCAATGGACCTTCGACCTTTTGGAAATTGGCGTGCCTTGCAGAAGGTCCTCCCTGTACAGTTTGCAACCTGAAAGACCCCTTGAAGTTCTCGGAGGTCCATCGCTTGGGCTAACCTGGTGCCAAGAGGGCCGGCACTCTTCTTGCCTGTGTGTCCTTTCTTCTTCTTCTCTTTTCTTTGTGTGTTCAATAACCGCATGTCGTCCCCGCCGTTGCCTTGACTGCCCCCCAACTGCCTGCCGCTTTCATGGCCTTCATTGCCTGTTTCTCTCTCTCTCTCTCTCTTTGGCCCCACTTCCTCCTTCCTTCCTCCCTCCCTTCCCCTCCTCTCTGTTTTCCTTCCCGCCCTCCTCACAGGCACCCTGCCGACACCACGGCGGCCACCGAGGACATGATGCCCTCCGTCACCACCGTCACCACAAACTCTGACACCATCACGGAGACCTTTGCCACCGCTCAGAATAGCCCCACCAGCGAGACCACCACGCTCACCTCCAGCATCACCTTGCCAGCCACGCCCATGCCGGACTCCAACTCGGTGGCCCCCGCTCAGGGCACGTCCTCAAAAGCGGCCGGGGCGTCCCCTCCGCCCGCTTCCGCCCCCAAAGTGGCCCCTCTGGTTGACCTCAGTGACACCCCCACATCTACTCCGTCCTCCGGCAAGTTGTCGTCCGGCGTCCTGACCAACCAAGGGGCGGTGCTGAGCCCCAGCTCCTCCGCCAAAGCGGCCGAGGCACCCAAGGGCTCCGCTCCGAGCAGCAAATCCCCCGCCCCGCAACCCCCGCACCCTGCCAGCCCCCCAGCTTCCGCAGAGCCCAAGCTGGAGGCCTCGGGCGCCAAGAGCCCCGAAAAGGAAGCCACGCAGACCAACGCGGTGAAGAGCCCAACGGAGTCCGGCAAGAACGCCGCCAACAAGAAGGGCGAGGCTGCCACGGGGGCCACCACCACAAACGCCACTCAGAACGAGGACTTTAAAATGGACGAAGGGAGCTTCAAGACGCCAGACATTGACCTTGCCAAGGATGTTTTTGCTGCGTTGGGCACGGCGGCCTCCGCCAACGCTCCTGGGGGACAAGCGGCGGCTGCTGCTGCTGCTCCGTCCGCGCCGGAGACTTCCACATCGCCAGCGCCTGCCAAGACAGAGTATGCCTCCCCCCTTTAAACCCCTCTTGTTGACGTGCTGTGTCTCTTTTTCGCACTGTGCTGTGTATTTGGCTCCACTTCTGTGTGTTCGTCTCAAATTAACCTGGCTGTTTCTTTATGGAAGCTAACCAAACTTACTTACTTAGGTGATTCCCTCGTAGCCCAAGGATGGTGGCCCTCCAAGTGTAGTGTCTTGGTGGTGGGTCCGTAGGTGGCTGTGGAGCCCTGTTCTTGATCTGTGAAGGCGGTCCCAGTTGGGGTTGGCTGGATGCGCTTTCTTACTCTCCCTTTCACCCTCCATTCGTGCCCCTTTGAATTCCACAGCACTGCTGGTCACAGCTGACCTCCAGTTAGAGTGCTTCCAGCAACTACAATTCCCAAATATCAAGGTCTATTTCCCCCAAAATCCACCAGCGTTCACATTTGGGCATATTGAGTATTTGTGCCAAATTTGGTCGAGATTTATCATTGTTTGAGTTCACAGTGCTCTCTGGATGTAGGTGAACTACAACTCCAAAACTCAAGGTCAGTGCCCACCAAACCCATCCAGTATTCTCTGTCGGTCATGGGAGCTCTGTTTGCCAAGTTAGGTTCAATTCCTTCATAGGTGAACTATAAATCCCAGAAACTACAACTCCCAAATGACAAAATCAACCCCCCCCCCCCAACTCCACCAGTATTAAAATTTGGGCGTATCGGGTATTTGTGCCAAATTTGGTCCAGTGAATAAAAATACATCCTGTATATCAGATATTTACTGGATATACTCGAGTATAAGCCTAGTTTTTCAGCCCCTTTTTTAGGCTGAAAAAGCTGCCCTCTGCTTATACTCGAGTCAAAGTTATTTATTATTTTACTCTGTTATTACTATTATTTTTATTGCATTTATTATTTTACTCTATTATTGATATTATTACATTTACATTATTTTACTCTATTATTATTTTATTACATTTATTTTACTCTATTATTATTACAATTATTTTACTTTATTATTGTTACTGCATTTATTACTTTACTTTCTTATTATTGGAAGGATACGTAAGCACATTTACACTGAAAAAGGTTAGAGTATATTATTACATTTACATTATTTTACTCTATTATTATTATTTAATTACATTTATTTTACTCTATTATTGTTATTATTATTACATTTGTTATTTTACTCTATTATTGATATTATTACATTTACATTATTTTACTCTATTATTTTATTACATTTATTTTACTCTATTTATTATTATTATTATTATTACTATTATTACTATTATTATTACATTTATTATTTTACTCTATTATTGTTACTGCATTTATTATTTTACTCTCTTTATTATTATTGGAAGGATACGTAAACACATTTACACTGAAAAAGGTTAGAATAATGGTTTAATCAAAGTTGGTCAGTCTTATTTTAAATTACAGTTTTATGTAAACATTGAAAAACCTTTAGCTACTGTTTCCTCAATTAATGTAATTTTATTGGTATCTATATTTATTTTGTATTACCAGTGGCTGCTGCATTTCCCACCCTTGACTTATACTCGAGTCAATAAGTTTTCCCCTTTTTTGGTGGTAAAATTGGGTGCCTCGGGTTTATATTCAGGTCGGCTTATACTCGAGTATATACGGTACATTACAATCCATAACAGTAGCCAAATGACAGTTATGAAGTAGCAATGGAAATAATGTTATGGTTGGGGGTCACCACGACATGAGGAAGTGGATTAAGGGGTCGTGGCATTCAGAAGGTTGAGAAGCACTGTTTTAGAGGAAAGGCCCATTTCCAAGTGCTGCATGATGTCTGTCGCAAGGGCATCTCCCCATGCCTTTCACTAACTGGCCTTGTTTTGGTGCCTTTCCTTGCAGGAAAACCCCTGTAGAAGAAAAGCCTGCAATCCAAGCCACGGAAGCCAAGACAGCCCCTGCAGAAGTCAAGACGGTGCCCAACGAAGCCACGCAAACAAACGAGAACGAGAGCAAAGCATGATGGGCCGCGGTGCCGCGCTAAAACAAAATTTGGAAAAAAAAAGTGACAGAACAGCTTCACCTGAGCATTGAAAACACAACACACATCTCATCCCTCTAGTGTCTTTGCCTTTTTTTAAAAAAAGAAAACAGACAAAACATGCATACGATGATGGGGGAAAAATGTGTTCTTTCTTTCTTTCTTTTTCGTAGATTTGTAGGGAATTTTTTTTTCCTTTTGTGTGCACTTGCTTTAAGGGAAAAAAAGGTAAATAAGTATTCCCCCCCCCCCTTTCTAATCCCGTTAGAATAGCAGCAACCTTGCAAAATATTCATGCAGAGTTGTAAACAATGCAATCCCATCCCAATTGCAGCCTCTTTTGGAGACGGAATTAGGAAATCTTGGCTCTCCTAGGTTGCGTTAAGTGACAGTTGCCAGTTGCAAACCCCTTTGGTGTTGTATTTTGCAGCCAAATTGGGATAAGGTGTGTGGGGGGAGCCCTGTAAGCTTGCTGAAGTGAGTCTTTCCCCCCTTTCCTTCTCTTTCTCCGGCGCCCTTTGGATTGGTTCTGTTTTCAGGTGTGTTTCCAATATTTCCTCCCAAGTTCTCAAGGCCGGGCTCTCGCTCGGAGGAGCCTTTTGCGGTCACCAAACGGAGCAAAGCAGAGACCTCCGTGCTCCTTTACGTCTCTGTTTAACACCCCAAAATTTTGGTTTTAGGAAGGCTTTGGGAGTGTAATATTCCCCGCCAGCAGTATTCCTTGGGGTTTGTGTGTTATCGCGTGTGTTTTTGTTTTTGTTTCCAGTTCATTCGTTCGTTTGCCAACTCTTTTCTTCCAGTGTTTACAGTCAACAAAACGTTTTTTTTTTGTTAAAAAAAATACTTTTGTTGTGTTTCAATGTCTGTGTAAAATAGCTGCCTTTTTAAAAAAAAGAGAGGGAGAAAGAAAGAGAGAGAGAGAGAGAGAACGTCAATACAGGCTGTATAGGTAGTAAGTTGACCAGCATGCTTGCTTTGCAAAGGGAGACATTTTCAACGTGGATGTTTACAGTAGGTTTTTCTCCCCTCCCCGTGATCTCCTCTCCTTCCCTCCCCTTCCCTTCTTAATTATTATTATTATTTTATTATCTTACCGCAGTACGAAAACGAGGCAACCCCTTACGTTCTTGTTTTTCTATAGACAGGCCAGTATCCTACTTCAAACTAGTATCCGGATCAGGCCGAGCTTAATGGGAATCGAGGTGGGAACGTTTGGGAAAGCAGCCATGACTCCTGTTTATCGTCCGAGCGTGATAATTGTGTTTCGAAGGGAGAAATGTAAGAATGGCATTGTAACTCACTCATGGCGATCCATGGGCCTTAACATTGCCTGCCTAGGTGACTCCAAACTGTCCAACTCACCGCCCGACACTTAATCTTGTCATCTCTGTAGTGCAAACATGGGTTTGATGTACAAGCCGAGGCTTCCCTGTCCCATAAACGCTGAGCATTTCCGACTCCTCCGTAATGCCATGTTTGCTGTGTATTCAGTGGGAGGGAGAGAGGGGGCCTTGAAGGGTTGACTCCAGTGAAAATTCCACCCCAATTAAATACATTTGAGAATGCAATCTTACATTAAAGTTGAATTATTTCAGAGGATTTCAGCCCCCTAAAAAACCCCACTTTAGTCAATGATCTCACTTGTGATCCGGCTCGTCCTTATCTCATTCAGGCACAACTCAGATTTGGAAAACTCAGCCAGCTTGGATACATTCCTAAGATGTATGCAACACAATCAGCCTCCCAACAAACCCTGCAACAACAACAATAACGATAATAAAACTTTATACCCCGCTACCATGTTCCCAAGGGACTCGGTGCGGCTTACAAATCCTGCAACAACAACAACAACAACAATAAAACTTTATTTATACCCCGCTACCATGTTCCCAAGGGACTCGGTGCGGCTTACATGAGGCCGAGCCCACAATACGTCAATACAAACAATAACAACAACAGTAAAACAATTAAATAAAACTCATAAACCAAAAAAAGCAATATACAATGACAATAATACAACACACAATTAAAATCTATGGCTGGGCCAAATGTAATTAAAGTTAAAAATAATGCTAGGCATGAATAAGGCGTTGGTGGGAGCGTACAACAATCCTAAATCAGTATAAGGTGCATTTGGAGGGCACAATGCTGAGAATTCATTATTCTGGGAAGGCACACTGGAACAACCACGTTTTCTGGCTCCTCCGAAAGCCTAGTGGTGGTATCACTACATTGTGAAAGGAAAGCTCGTGTGAATAGGTGTTGATGGATAAGTTCAACACTCGGTGGCATTTTGACCATTGGAAAGAGGCTCTGTTGCAATTGCCAAGGGATCAAAATATTGAGGGCTGGGGCAGAGTGAATAAATCTCTCGTAAAAGAATGTATACCTTGTGCTGAAAAGCTACAGCCTTCGAGAATTTCCACCAAATAGGGTACAATTTACTTTGAGAAGCATCATGACTTCGAGGCTGCTTTTAGTCCCGCGAGGCTCAATTTCCGACAGCACCAAACCTCTCACAACTGGGTTGTTGTAGGTTTTTTCGGGCTACATGGCCATGGTCTAGAGGGATTCTCTCCTGACGTTTCTCCTGCATCTATGGCAAGCATCCTCAGAGGCTTGTCTCACCTCACTACCTCTGAGGATGCTTGCCATAGATGCAGGCGAAATGTCAGGAGAGAATGCCTCTAGAACATGGCCATATAGCCCGAAAAAACCTACAACAACCCAATGATTCTGGCCATGAAAGCCTTCGACAATACCTCTCACAACTCTCAAATCCAGGGTCTGTGTGCCCCCCCCCCCCGGTCACTGTGTTTAGCTGCTCTTGGATGGCTAAGAGTGGAATGTGAGTCTGAAGCGTCATTGCATGAAGCATGTGCGCAATGGCTTCCATGTGTAGCACCTGACTAGCTGAGTCCCTTTTTGGTCCAGGAAGTCGTGCCCCGGAGGGTTTCCTGTTGGGTTTGTCCCCACGCCTTGGCTTCCCCAAATCGATGTGCTTAGACCTCAGAGCTTGCTTCAAACGTTCTTTGGTTTGCGGCGTCTTTGCAAGAGGGGAGGCCCGTTCTGTGCAGAGTTGTGTGTCTCTGTGTGCTTTCGGACATCTCCCCCGCTCATCCCCGTTGAGGAAAGCAGTGGCCGCGTTCGCCTTGTGCTCGCCTCTGGGGCGGTTCTGGGCCCAGGTCGAAACTGCGTTCTCGATGTTGTCTCCCCTTCCCGCGCTTACGAATCCCTCCCGGAGCTTAACCGAGCCAAAGGGGAGGTTGTACAGTCAAGGGCTGGTCTCGGAAGTTACACTCGGAAAACAAACCCCTACTCTTCTTCCTTATTTAAAATACATTCCGGCCTGTACAAGACTTAAAAAGTAGCAAAGCTCACCACTTTGGGGACTTGGCAAACCAGATAATGTGGAAATGGGTAAATATTGGGCACGCGATACCCTGAAAGGGTTCATCTTAAACGACAATAATAATAGTAATAATAAAACTTTGTTTATGTATCGCTCGATCTCCCCGAGGGGACTCAAAGCGGTTACCAGGTAACATCACAAAACATACAAAAGTAAAAACAACATAACCATAAAATTAACAAAACAAAATATAAGCATTAAAATTGGGCTGTTGTAGGTTTTTTCGGGCTATTTGGCCATGGTCTAGAGGCATTCTCTCCTGACGTTTCGCCTGCATCTATGGCAAGCATCCTCAGAGGTAGTGAGGTCTGTTTTTCCTAGTTCCATTATTATTATTATTATTGTTATTATTATTATGTCCTTGTTTGTGCCATCAAATGCTAATCAAGGTGGTCAGTTGAAACATTCACACCTAGCTCCAGCAGAGAAGAGTCCTTTGTCCCACCCTGGTCATTCCACAGATATATAAACCCTTTTTCCTAGTTCCAACAGACCTCACTACCTCTGAGGATGCTTGCCATAGATGCAGGCGAAACGTCAGTAGAGAATGCCTCTAGACCATGGCCATATAGCCCAAAAAAACGACTACAACCCAGTGATTCCATCCATGAAAGCCTTCGACAATACAAGGTTCTCATTGGGTTGTTGTAGGTTTTTTCGGGCTATATAGCATTTGATGGCACAAACGAGGACATAATAATAATAATAATAATAATAATAATAATAATAATAATAATAATTTATTTGTACCCCGCTACCATCTCCCCAAGGGACTTGGTGCGGCTTACACGAGGCCAAGGCCAAATACAACAATGCAAGCAAAACAACAACAATACAAGCAATTAAAAATAAAACATGGACAATAAAATATACAACATTATCAATATGACACTCAGTTAAAACTGTGGGAAGGCCAAATGTAAAATTAAAATTGAAAATAATGCTGGAGCATGGGTGAAAAGGTGGTAGTAGCGTTTGTGGAAAACATGCAAGCGGACCTAAAATGTAAAGTGCTTTGGAGGACAAAGTGCTATGGGATCATTATTCTGGGAAGGCACACTGGAACAACCACATCTTCAAGCTCCTCCTAAAGGCTAAAGACATCTAATCACCTCTCAACAAAAGTTTGCTCCAGGCACTGCCAGGCCATCAAATGCTAATCAAGGTGGTCAATTGAAACATTCACACCTAGCTCCAGCAGACAAGAGTCCTTTGTCCAACCCTGGTCATTCCACCGATATATAAACCCATTTTCCTAGTTCCAACAGACCTCAGTACCTCTGAGGATACTTGGCATAGATGCAGGCGAAACGTCAGGAGAGAATGCCTCTAGAACATGGCCATATATCCCGAAAAAACCTACAACAAGCCTTCGACAATACATTAAGCATTAAAATTGTCACCATAACACACTTATAATAAAAGTAATCCTGCTTCTCTTTTTAGCCAACCACTCCATGGAAACTCTTTGACTTTATGAGACCTAAACACCCTTGTTTTGTGTAATGATAACTCAGAATTCGACTATTTTGTGCCCAAAGCCGTGACTTTTACTAATTTTTAAAGCCATCGTACAAAATGGGAATGTAGGGTGAAGGATGTAGTTACGAGGGAGACCAGCCCGTTGTATAGAACTTCTTTTTTTCATTTGTAAAAGGATAATTTTATTAGATCTGCAAGCTTGTGCACTGTGGGTGCGTGAATATCTTAGTGTGAAATGTGTGTTTTTTGTCATAGTATCAAAAGAAAAAAAGTTTAAATCAGGAAAAAAGAACACGTCATCATAGTTTGGATGTGGAAGGTGTAGCGGGATTAGTTTGGGTGACTGAGGCGAATACAAATGGTGCATTTCAGGATGTGTAAATAAATGGAGAGAATACAGCTGTTCTCGACTGAAGGGTAGCCTTTAAATAAATACAAAACCTGCGAAATTGAATGTGATATATAACATTCCTTTGCGCTAACTCTAAGGTAGCGTGGGAGGGGGCAAAGGAAGAGAGGAGCGGGCAGCGCGGGAGACACATATTTTGCGGTGACCACCTCAACGCCCCCAGTTATCTTTCAGTTATCATTGCCAACGGTGAACAATCCCCAAGTCTTGTCCTTTGGCTAAATGTGGGGCTTTGTTTTTCCCATTGCTGTGTTTCACTTTCTTGCCTACTTGGGGGTGGAAACGGAAGCATTGCCGATATCAACACATGCATAACACTCATGGCGCACTCATCCTTCTTGATAGGCAGCTAGGAGAAGGTGGGGTGGGCCCCCCAATTGCATGACATGGGTGCCTTTGGCTTAGGATGGTAGAAGGGATGGGGAAGATTTACGTTTGAGAAGGCACTAGCAAGGTTCTCATTGGGTTGTTGTAGGTTTTTCGGGCTATATGGCCATGTTCTAGAGCAGTGGTTCTCAACCTGGGGTCCCCAGATGTTTTTGGCCTACAACTCCCAGAAATCCAGCCAGTTTACCAGCTGTTAGGGTTTCTGGGAGTTGTAGACCAAAAACATCTGGGGACCCCAGGTTGAGAACCACTGTTCTAGAGGCATTCTCTCCTGACGTTTTGCCTGCATCTACGGCAAGCATCCTCAGAGGTTGTGAGGTCTGTTGGAACTAGGAAAATTGGATTGATATATCTGTGGAATAATGTCCAGAGTGGGACAAAGAACTCTTGCCATAGATGCAGGCGAAACGTCGGGAGAGAATGCTTCTAGAACATGGCCATATAGCCCGAAAAACCTACAACAACCCAGTGATTCCAGCCATGAAAGCCTACAACAATACAAGGTTTTCATTGGTTTTGCTTTATTTTGGCCAATGGAGAGAAGAACAGGGTAGGACTTAATAGTGCGCAAGATATTTCCTTGGTCTCACAGATGGCCACCACACAGATATCTATTACTAAGTTACACAAAGCTCCCCAAACTGTTTTGCCAGTACGGTTTTACCTCCTATGTTGCTATTCATTCTATCCCGAGTGGCTGATGGAAGGCAAATGCCGCCACGATCCATCCCACGAGTGCTGCAAATGGTGGCTCCCGTCATATCTCATTCAGCAAGGTTGGCCATGGCTGCTGCTCATGAAGCGTGGTTGGCACCTGCAGGGAGAAACAAACAACATGTTGTGGTCTCATCATGTTTTGGTGACCCTGGAGCCTTGCA